CAAAAACAAACAAAAAAAAAGTTTAAAGGTTTGACCAAAATCATGGGTTAACCCCTTTGAAAAATGTCCAGTTTTAGGACTTTAAAAAATGGATATTTTTATAGTCTAAAAAGGCGTTTTCCTATCTAGAAGATCCCCAAACCACATTTTCAGCCCTAATTTGCACAAAAACAAACAATAAAAACTTTCAAATTTTTTCCCAAAATAATGGGTTAACCCCTTAGAAAAATGACGAATTTCGGGATTTTAGAAAATAGATATTTTTATCGTCTAAAAGGGCTTGCTGTCTATCTAGAAGATCCCGAAGACACATTTGTAGGGCTCATCAGTATAAAAACAAACAACATAAAAAATTGTGACCAAAATCATGGATTAATCCCTTTAAAAAATGTCCAGTTTTGATACTTTAGGAAATGTAAATTTTTAACGTCTAAAAAGGCTTGTTTTGTATCTAGAAGATCATCAAACAACATTTTTAGCCGACGTTTCAATAAAAAAAAACAACAACAAAAGAATAAAAAACTTCAAATTTTTAACCAAAATCCTGCGTTAACCCCTTTAAAAACCCTTGAACTTTGGGACTTCAGAAAATTGAGATTTTACCAAAGGGGTTAACCCATGGTTTTGGTCAAAAATTGGCCATTTTTCTATCTTTTCTTTTTAGGCAATATAGGCCAGGAAAATGTGTTTTACGATATTCTAGAACGACAAAACGCCTTTCTAGGCTATAAAAACAACAAGTTCAAAAAGTCGAAAAAATTGAGATTTTCTAAAGGGGTTAACCCATGGTTTTGGTCAAAAATTGGCCATTTTTCTATCTTTTTTTTTTAGGCAATATAGGCCAGGAAAATGTGTTTTACGATATTCTAGAACGACAAAACGCCTTTCTAGGCTATAAAAACAACAAGTTCAAAAAGTCGAAAAAATTAAGATTTTTCCAAAGGGGTTAACCCATGGTTTTGGTCAAAAATTGGCCATTTTTCTATCTTTTTTTTTTAGGCAATATAGGCCAGAAAAATGTGTTTTACGATATTCTAGAACGACAAAACGCCTTTCTAGGCTATAAAAACAACAAGTTCAAAAAGTCGAAAAAATTAAGATTTTTCCAAAGGGGTTAACCCATGGTTTTGGTCAAAAATTGGCCATTTTTCTATCTTTTTTTTTTTAGGCAATATAGGCCAGGAAAATGTGTTTTACGATATTCTAGAACGACAAAACGCCTTTCTAGGCTATAAAAACAACAAGTTCAAAAAGTCGAAAAAATTGAGATTTTGGGGTTAACCCATAGTTTTGGTCAAAAAAGTGGCCATTTTTCTATCTTTTTTTTTTAGGCAATACAGGCCAAGAAAATTTTTTTTATGATATTCTAGAACGAAAAAACGCCTTTTCTAGGCTAAAAAAACAACAAGTTCAAAAAGTCGAAAAATTGAGATTTTTCCAAAGGGGTTAACCCATGGTTTTGGTCAAAAATTCGCCATTTTTCTATCTTTTTTTTTTAGCCAATATAGGCAAGGAAAATGTGTTTTACGATATTCTAGAACGAAAAAACGCCTTTCTAGGCTAAAAAAACAACAAATTCAAAAAATCGAAAAATTGAGATATTTCCAAAGGGGTTAACCCATGGTTTTCGTCAAAAATTGGCCATTTTTCTATCTTTTTTTTTAGGCTATACAGGCCAGGAAAATGTGTTTTACGATATTCTAGAACGAAAACACACCTTTCTAGGCTAAAAAAACAACAAGTTCAAAAAGTCGAAAAATTGAGATTTTTCCAAAGGGGTTAACCCAACGTTTTGGTAAAAAATTGGCAGTTTTTGCATCTTTTTTTAAAAATCAATATAGGCCAGAAAAATGTGTTTTACGATATTCTAGAACGACAAAACGCCTTTCTAGGCTATAAAAACAACAAGTTCTAAAAGTCGAAAAATTGAGATTTTTCCAGAAGGGTTAACCCATGGTTTTGGTCAAAAATTGGCCATTTTTCTATCTTTTTTTTTTAGGCAATACAGGCCAGGAAAATGTGTTTTACGATATTCTACAACGAAAAAACGCTTTCTAGGCTAAAAAAACAACAAGTTCAAAAAATCGAAAAATTGAGATTTTTCCAAAGGGGTTAACCCATGATTTTGGTCAAAAATTGGCCGTTTTTCTATCTTCATTTTTTAGGCAATATAGGCCAGGAAAATGTGTTTTACCATACTCTAGAACGAAAAAATGCCTTTCTAGGCTGTAAAAACAACAAGTTCAAAAGTCGAAAAATTGTGATTTTTCCAAAGGGGTTAACCCATGGTTTTGGTCAAAAATTAGCCATTTTTCCACCTTTTTTTTTTAGGCAATATAGGCCAGGAAAATGTGTTTTACGATATTCTAGAACGAAAAAATGCCTTTCTAGGCTATAAAAACAACAAGTTCAAAAAGTCGAAAAATTGTTATTTTCCAAAGGGGTTAGCCCATGGTTTTGGTTTAAAATGGGCTATTTTTCTATATTTTTTTTTAGGCAATATACGCCAGGAAAATGTGTTTTACGATATTCTAGAACGAAAAAACGCCTTTCTAGGGTATAAAAACAACAAGTTAAAAAAGAGGAAAAATTGAGATTTTTCCAAAGGGGTTAACCCATGGTTTTGGTAAAAAATTGGCCATTTTTCCATGTTTTTATTTCAGGCAATATAGGCCACGAAAATGTGTTTTACGATATTCTAGAACGAAAAAACGCCTTTCTAGGCTATAAAAACAACAAGTTTAAAAAGTCGAAAAACTGAGATTTTTCCAAAGGGGTTAACCCATGGCTTTGGTCAAAAATTGGCCATTTTTCCATCTTTTTTTTTTAGGCAATATAGGCCAGGAAAATGTGTTTTACGATATTCTAGGACAAAAAAAACGCCTTTCTAGGCTATAAAACAACAAGTTCAAAAAGTCGAAAAATTGAGATTTTTCCAAAGGGGTTAACCCATGGTTTTGGTCAAAAATTGGCCATTTTTCCATCTTTTTTTTTTAGGCAATATAGGCCAGAAAAATGTGTTTTACGATATTCTAGGACAAAAAAAACGCCTTTCTAGGCTATAAAACAACAAGTTCAAAAAGTCGAAAAATTGAGATTTTTCCAAAGGGGTTAACCCATGGTTTTGGTCAAAAATTGGCCATTTTTCCATGTTTTTTTTTTTCAGACAATATAGGCCAGGAAAATGTGTTTTACGATGTTCTAGAACGTAATAACGCCTTTCTAGACTATAAAAACAACAAGTTCAAAAAGTCGAAAAACTGAGATTTTTCCAAAGGGGTTAACCCATGGTTTTGGGCAAAAATTGGCCACTTTTCCATCTTTTTTTTTTAGGCAATATAGGCCAGGAAAATGTGTTTTACGATATTCTAGGACAAAAAAAACGCCTTTCTAGGCTATAAAACAACAAGTTCAAAAAGTCGAAAAACTGAGATTTTTTCAAAGGGGTTAACCCATGGTTTTGGTCAAAAATTGGCCATTATTCTATCTTTTTTTTGTAGGCAATATAGGCCAGGAAAATGTGTTTTACATTATTCTAGAACGACAAAACGCCTTTCTAGGCTATAAAAACAACAAGTTTAAAAAGTCGAAAAAATTGAGATTTTGGGGTTAACCCATGGGTTTTTTTTTCGATCTTTTTTTTTTTAGGCAATACAGGCCAAGAAAATGTGTTTTACGATATTCTGGAACGAAAAAACGCCTTTCCAGGCTAAAAAAACAACAAGTTCTAAAAGTCAAAAAATTGAGATTTCTTCAAAGGGGTTAACCCATGGTTTTGGTCAAAAATTGGCCATTATTCTATCTTTTTTTTAAAGGCAATATAGGCCAGGAAAATGTGTTTTACGATATTCTAGGACAAAAAAAACGCCTTTCTAGGCTATAAAAACAACAAGTTCAAAAAGAGGAAAAATTGAGATTTTTCCAAAGGGGTTAACCCATGGTTTTGGTCAAAAATTGGCCATTTTTCCATTTTTTTTTTCAGGCAATATAGGCCAGGAAAATGCGTTTTACGATATTCTAGAAGGACAAAACGCCTTTCTAGGCTATAAAAACAACAAGTTCAAAAAGTCGAAAAAATTGAGATTTTTCCAAAGGGGTTAACCCATGGTTTTGGTCAAAAATCGGCCATTTTTCCATGTTTTTTTTTTCAGGCAAAATAGGCCAGGAAAATGTGTTTTACGATATTCTAGAACGACAAAACGCCTTTCTAGGCTATAAAAACAACAAGTTTAAAATGTCGAAAAATTGAGATTTTTCCAAAGGGGTTAACCCATGGTTTTGGTCAAAAATTGGCCATTTTTCCATGTTTGTTTTAGGCAATATAGGCCAGAAAAATGTGTTTTACGATATTCTAGAGCGAAAAAACGCCTTTCTAGGCTATAAAAACAAGAAGATTAAAAAGTCGAAAAGTTGAAAAAAAAAGGGCTTGTTTTCTACTTAGAAGATCCCCAAGCATCAATTTGGGGCCTATTTTGCATTTTTAGACTATAAAAATATACATTTTACTTAGTCTGCAAATTGGATATTTTGCAAAGGGGTGAGTCCCTTCTTTTAGTAAAAATTTTAAAATTTCTTTGTTATATTTCATTATAATCTTTAGGTTAAATTCGCTCATGATGCCAGTTGAAGATAATAAATTGATGGCTTCGAAGGATAAGTGTAAAATAGTAATAAAATCTAAATGTAAACAAAATATTAATTAAAGATGCAACTGTTGTAGTTGTAAAAAGAAAAAAACTCGAAAAAATTCAGTATTTTTGGATTATTTTTTTTAGAAAAGTTCTTTCTAGAACTGTGAAGATCTGCTACAAATTTAATTTTTCATCTTGCAGCAACTCTATAATCAAATTGTGGACATTTTAGAGAATAACTCTGTTCTAAAAGACCACTGATGTGACAACACATTGATCAGTCAGAGAAGTATTTTTCGCTCCAGCATTTAATTGATATTAAAGTATGAGATTTCAGGACAAGGAATTTACAAAAAAAAAAAGGCTCCATCACTTCTTCTTGGTAGACAGCAGTATACCATCATACTGAAAGACAAGAAAATATTAACAAATCTTTGGATATTGATGAGGAAAATTTGGTTAACAATGCAGAAGAAGAAGTCAATTCTCAATAGGATTCAAAATATTACAATAATAATAATTATTGCCCAAGAGAAACATTTAAAAACTGCATGACTACGTACAAGTAATACCGTAAATGCTCGAATTAGCGCCCAGCTTCAAATAAGCGCCCCTCCTAAGGCTCAAAATTTGTAATAAGTGCCCTCCTTCAAATAAGCGCCCGCCTCCCCCTCCCCCGAGAAAAAATAAGTTTCGGTACGCGGTACGATATACGAGACGTATACGGTCTATACGGTTCTTTTAATGAAATGTGACATTGTTAAATAGTATAAACAGTAATGTCCTTTCAAAGTCGCACGGGTTTGCTTCTCATTTCCTTGATAGAAATATCCATATCCATCCTTGAGGACAGCGATACAGAAATTGAAGTTGATTAAGAATCCAAATGCTTGTTCTATTGCAGAAATAAAATACACTTTTTGATGAAAAAGTCTTAAGAACGTTTCGAGTTCCCAAAAAGTAGTTTTTATAAGGTTTTTGAATTTTTATGTTGCAGTTTGGTTTTAATTACAAATAAAGATAGCGTCATTTAGAGGCTAAAAATTGATAAACGGAATAAGCGCCCCCCTCTCGCCTTAGAAAATTCAATAAGTGCCCCGGGCGCTAATTCGACATTTACGGTAATAGTAACCAATGATTTACATCATTAGTATGGGATTTTGGGGACCAAAATGCAGATCTTATGAACAAATGTGTGACAGAGACTGAAAAGAAGATGCTATATTCACAGGTTACTTGAAAGAGCACAAATCCACCTCCAAAACATCATTGACTTTGATTGGGTATCATATAAACCATCAAAATAATTATCGACAACCTTCAGAAAACGTGAAAAAGAAGGTGAAAACTTTGTCCAGTAGAAATACTGATACAGTTTGTACTGTAGAGAAACTATGGAGGCAGAGTGTCCAAGAGCACTGGAATTGTAATCTAGAAGGTGTGTGCTCAGTACCTACCCTAATCAATAGCTGGATTGTTCTCAGTACTCCCGAGTTCAACCCCTCCATCTATTACCCTTGTAGATAACAAACTAGTTTGCCTCCAGCCAGTTAGGATTGTTATTCCTGTGGGCCCAAGGTTGAGCTCTACAAAAAATTGAAGGGAGCCCGGTGCTCTGGACCTGTGAAATCCAGGGTGCCCAGCAGAGGATTTGTATGCAAAACCTAAGATCTTCTAGTCGCCCAAGAACAAAAGTTAGGTGCCACAGGCCACCAGGCACTGCTAGAGCACAGCCTTGGGGCCCACAATGAAAACCATTGGTTTAACAGTACAAAAGCAACCGTTTTTCCCTTATAAAGTTAGTTTTTTTTTAACATCCTTACCTTCTGTTGGAACCACTTCATAGCTTCCTCCTTTGTTATAAGGTGTTTAAACCCAATTCTACTTTGCTTCCTTTTTCGTTTAGAAACGTTGAATCCAGGGCGTCCCAAGACAACGTAGAAATCCATACCATAAATACCAATACTGGGGTCATATTTGATTCCAAGATCAATGTGTTCCTGGATACCAAAGCCAAAGTTACCAGTGCGGGAGAAGTTATCCTTTGACAGTTCATATTCACGAACCTTTTGATAGACAAGGAACAAAAAAATCTCAAGGTATTATCCTTAGGGAAATATCAGAAACTACAACCAACTCTCTTGATATTTTTGCCAAAAGCATATTAGTTTTCTTGAGCTTGTTGCAGTTATGAGAAAACTCGCTTATCTATTAAACGCTCCTGCTTGGACCCCTAAAACTAAATAGACACCCCAGGTGTTAATTAGGTCACTGACAGTAAACTGTATACAGGTATGTTGCTAAGGAGCAGGCTGCTGGCTAATTTCACCGGTGAAAAAGACCTCAGCATCAACTCAAATTGAAAACAAAGACACTGATACAAAAATCCTGCATTGCTTTTCCTTAGCTAAAACCTTGTGTTCAATGAAATGGCTGAATAATTATGAAAGTTTCATAACCACTGATCACTTTTATCTGTTTGAATAAACTTTACTTGTCTGTAAACACAGAAAATTGGCTGTGTTCTCTTTAAGCATTATGCATATCCAGTATCACAGCTTTGTACATCATGACTTGGTAAACGACATACCTTCAAACCTTTCTCAAGGATTTCTTCAGCCTTAGCACCTCGTACAGTACAATGAACAGCAATCTTCTCATTACGACGAATGCCAAATGAACGCACTGTGTAACGGGCTGAAAAAAGTAATAATATTATTAAATCACTGCATTACCAACTGAACTCTAAATTTACTCTTCATAGCGTAGAGTTTTTTATAATTTATTTGCCAATGATTTTCTTTGCTGAACATTGTTTCTGAACACAAATAAAAATACATACCTTTGGAAAACACTGGCTGCTGTCCAGTGAGTTGTTCCAAAACTTTAGCAGCTCTCGTCAGACGATCTCCACTCTCACCAACACAGATGTTCAAGCATAGTTTCCTAATGCGGAGCTCTTTCATAACATTCTGTTTCTGGGATTTCTCCCCGGACTAAAACAAAATGGTATAATAGCCATAAAATTCCCTGACATATCAAACTTGTTCAACAAAATGATATCAGAGCCTCCCTTAAATACCTAACTTGTTCAACAAAATGGTGTCAGGGCGATAAGATTCCCTGAAATAAGGGAACTGATCATTTTGCATTCAAACATGAAAGAATGCAACAGCATACTAAATCAAGGACAGTAAGTCACATACCTCTTTATAACAAAGATTCCAGTGTTATAATCCAACTATCAGTTCTTTGTTACTTTAAATGGTATTTTCCCCAATTTATTACAGTACAGTGACTCGGATACAATACAACAAACACATTTTCCCCGCTTACAATTAAAAACAGTCATTATAATGGTACAATAATAATATAAACACAACGTTCACAAACACGGACATTGGGACCTCCATAACAAGGTGCCAAGAGGAACTGGTAAAATGTATTTGCTGTAGTAACTGGGACAATGTTCTGTAATTGGGGTAACAATACGCTTTACCAGAATCTTCTATATCAATATCCAAAATACAACCACTTATTAAATGAACTTCTAAGTCGAGAAATTATTCTTCGCCACTGAAGTTTGGAAATTAAAAGAAAGCAACTTAAAATGTCACGGCACGTCTAGCCCGAAAAAGTATATTCTTGTTGTTGCACGAAGAACAAGAAAGCAAGAGCCTCAAACTTAAAACCAGATCTGAAGAGATGAAAGTCGAAATCAACAAGTACGTAAAAAGAACAATGCCTTGAAGTTTAAGTTAAAATCTGATTTGAAATTGTTCGCCGGGACCTCCCAAACTATGGATTTTCTTGTGACTATCATGATACGACACTTTCAATAAGGAGGAAAGGTTTTAATTCGTCGGAAAAAAAAACCTAAGCTTTAATAGCAAGTTGTAGATAAAAAATGGTGTCCTAAAAGGCGACTAAAATAAGTCCATGTATCAAGAAAACAGGTTGGGCAGTAAGGAAATTGACCACTGCAACTATCATCGATTTCGCTCCAGATCACGCTATGATGACCCCAGTTTTAATATAAAAATTATATTCGTTTCTAGGAAGATGCAAACTCAACAAAAATAGCGAGAAAATCGGGGAAAAGCGGAGAGAAAAAGGACAGAAGTAGGTTTTTCTTCGGCCACGTGAATCTATGTCCTTACCGCCATCTTGTCGAGAGCAAAAGAGGGCGCAACAAGGTTCATGGGAGATGACGTAAGCGCAAGTAACGCCTGCCGGAAATTGACATTTTCAAGATGGCGGCCTCGAAAATTTCATGATACCACAAATTTCACACAACTTTCTAACGCAAAAACAAAATGCAAATGTGATTGTTGAAAATAATCTTCGATCACACCAGTCTCAAGGTGCCTCAGCATTTGTCTGAAGGGCAGGACCAGAGGCTGGTTTTTGATAGGTTTTGTATCGAACAGAAAAAAAAGAATTCAATTTAGCTAGGTTTTCCATTTAATCAAATCCTTTTTTAAGGTCTAAAGCGTCACAGCATTATTAACTCTACCAGTATTTTGTGTCTTTCAGTTTATTGGTAATAATCTTTCACAATTTTTAACCTTTTCTGCTCCCCACCTCATATGGGTAATTACATCTCGGGAGATAAGTTGTTTTGGGATTTTTAAAAACCAAAAGTAGGCTACTCCCAATTTTTTATGCAGGTTTTAAAAATCATAACGCCATCAAGAACTGACCATCTGTAACTAAAAGATAAAAATACCTCTACAATAATATATTCTGATCACTTTATTGACGTTAATATCTACTAAAGTTTAGGTAATTTACATTCAATGAAAAAGTTGGAGTGTGCCAATTAACCTAAGATATTTTCATTGCGAAGAAATGAAAATAGAAGGCAATATAAGGAAGTAGATTATACCTATTGTCACCTGATCCTAATTTTCAACATGAAAAAAATAATTTCCCATGGAAATTGAATCAGGATTCATTTTGTTATAAATTAATGTCAGTAAAACCAACAGTTTAAAGAGAGTAAGACTTCAAAGAACGGCCAATGACCAGTTTAACACAACAGCAGTCTGCTTTAAAGGTAGTTTACAGACTTTCGTGTTTTGTGATAAAACACAGTTGCAAAAGCACTGTTTCACGTCTCCAAAAAGCAGTTTCCTCTTAAGCGCTATAATCTGCTGCTTTATACCTTCACGTCTGGGTTAAGCCAGACTGAGGTTAAGCCTTGCAAATTCAAGAGGAGAGTTCAGAGCAAAAAAAAGAAAACATTCAAAACAAACCACCCTCAAGTTGTGACCTACTTCTGAAAATTTTGCTTCTTAAACTGTCCTTTTTATTTTTCGTTACTCTTCTTGTTGTGGTCTTATTTATTACAGAAGTTTTTATTGTTGGTTATTTTCTGCTCCCTGTGGAGTGAGCAGCCGCTCCTTGTTGAAACTGTCGCATCATGGACTGAAGGCCCTGAGTTCCACCTGAAAATAAAACAATGGTGACGCATGGGGTTATAACTTTGTTACAAACATCTTTTGGTCACTAGGCCTGCACACTCTCTGGTGAATCTTCCACTAAGGGCATAAACAGTTTCTGACTTTCAATATATATCATGGACAAACTCTCTTATCGTTTAATGTGTGAACGGACCATAGTGTAACTGTAATTATCTTTCTCTATTTTCAGTAAAATTAGCTGACTGAGAGGGCGTGAAGAGCTAGTTTCTGATTAAACGAATTTATTCAGCAAGTTACTCTCAGCCTCTAGCAGCACTCACTAACAAGATTAGGCAAAAAAGAACATTTAATAAAGCTCACTGACAAGAAAACAAACTAATAGCCAGGTGTCCTTAAATTCCAATACCATAACACTGGTTGACCACGAAAAAATAAGCAAAGTTTACTGACCCATTTGTTGAAGAACTCTGGGATCCATCATTTTAGCCATCTGTTGATTAAGTTTGGCCATCTGTGATGGATTTACATTTTTACTCATGTCGCCACCTGAAAGAGAAAGAAAAGAAGAAATTGGAGATTAGTAAATAGGCTTTAATTTTTCAAATCCTTCTGTATTAAGTAAAATGATGTCAAAGCCTAGCACTAACCTAACAAAGATAAATGCTGTTGTATTACATTTTTGAAAAGTTACTGATATCTAATCCTTTACACTATAACTGATTACCTTTCTACCCTCACTGTAGAAAGATACATAAAATGACCAAAAATGCTTTTTGGCTGCTAACAAGGAGGTGTAAAAAGAAGTTTAAGGGGCTATCTACCACAAAGCCTAAAATGTTAGATGTCTCCATCCCCTGAACTGTGAACAAAAAGAAAATCAAGCGCCCTACCTTTAAATAAGCCCTTTATTCCTCCCATCTTTTTAACCATCGCGGCGAATTTTGTGTACTGAGACAAAAGTTCCTGCACCTCACGTACTGACACGCCACACCCACGTGCAACACGCGTGCATCTTCCTGGTTGGCGGGAAAACAGTTTGGCGCCATTTGGACTGTCAAGCTCTGTAAAGAGTATTCAAATTTTGTAAATTCAGTTTGTAAGCATGGTGGATAGAAGGAGTTGCGATAGAAGATTCTGGGGAAATGCTTACCTAGTGATAAGTGATATATACTTGAAATTAAATTTACTCATTTTAAAAATAATAACTTATAAAAAATAAGCCAAGCCTCATGTAAGGTCAATCATACCTTCATCATTCATGCTGTCCATAATTGTCATGAGTTTCTTTAATCTCGCCATAGACTCTTGCTCATTTCCTTTGGACAAAAAGTCACTGCTAAAGCCTGGAATCATACCCTACAAATAGGAAAAAAAAAAGAACATCATTTTTCCTGGTTCCCCTTAGTTCATAGTGACTAGGGGATATGGGACTCGACCCCCCCCCCCCCCCCCGTCCCACGGATTCTCGGCACCCCCCCCTCCTCCCCCCCCCCCCGACACAGGCGTGCTCCTCCTCCCACTTCTCCACTATCCGCGCCCTCGATTTTTTTACATATTTCTTTGTTGTTTTTTTCTTCTCTTTTTTGTTTTTGCTTGTCTCTATTAATCCAGGCTTTTCTTTAACTCCCCATTGTGCTTTTGCCATTTTCTTTTGACAAAAAGGCAACGCCAAAAGCCGGAATTATTACCCTCAAAAAGGAAAAAAAAAAAAACCTCCTTTTTCCTGGTTCCCCTTAGTTCAATGTGACTAGGGGAAATGGGACTCGGCCCCCCCCCCCCCGAGGTTGGCTTCCTCTGGTACCACTCGATCTTGTCTCCCCCCAGGAGAAAAGTGGTTCTCTTACACCTAGATTTAAGTGCTTCCATGCCATGAATATTTTGCCCATTTCTTTCTTGTGTTTTCCATTTGGTATAAGGCATAGAACTGCGATGCAAAACCATCCACCAGTTGGAAGAGTTTATTGACAAAGTCTTAAAAGATATGGCAAAGAAACCAGTCCTTACCATGATCTGGCCAAATGGTCCCATCTTCATGATGTTCTGGAACTGTTCATACATGTCTCGTAAACTAAAGACACCTAAAATAAATAACATTATTAACATAATATTATTATCATCCATTTGATGATGAGAAAAATAAGTGAGTGATAAAATCAGGAAATACTTTGTTGCTTGAAATCATATAACTTAAAATTTGCTAACCATGTTTAAGTTTGTCAATAAGTTCTTCATTGTCCTCAAGCTTCAGTTCATTAACTTTGTCAATCAAGCCTTCAATGTCTCCCATTCCTAATGTAAAATTACAGAGCAGACATATTATGAAATATTAAGAAAGTGTTTATTAACTAGTGAAAAGGAGGTGTAACCCTGAGCACATACACTGAAGATATCTCTATTTTAGCATAACTTACCCAATAATTTACTAATAAAAGGCCTGGTTTTAAAAGGTTCAAAGTCATCAATGTGCTCTCCAGTACCAATAAAGATAATAGGACTTTTGGTGGCTGCAACTCTGCAAGAAAACCACATGAAGTGTGTTGGGCAAAAAAAAGCAATGTTTATACACTAATTAAACAATGACTACTTTCAATGAATGATGCACAACTAAGAGAAACAGAAGCCGCAAATATTCATAAAGAGCTTGGTAAAAGGGACTTGATGTTGTAGTGAATGTATACTCAACTCATGTTATATTGATATTGATGATGATGATGATGATCATGACGCGATGATGATGATGATGATGATGATGATGATGATGCGATGATGATGATGATGATGTTGATAATGATGATAATGATGATGATATTAATGACGATGATGATGATCCTGATGATGGGATGATGATAAAATGGTACTGATGAGGTAGCTACAATGTTGCAACTTTGTTAGTACAACTTTAAGTTGTGGCGTGGGGGGTATACTTACGCACTCAATGCACCTCCACCCTTCGCATGTCCATCTAATTTAGTAACAATGACTGATGCTACATCCACTTTATCTTTGAAGGCCTTGGCCTAAAAAGAAATTTTTAGTTACAAAATGAAATAAATGAAGTCAACGCACAAAATCAGAGACAAAAAATAATGTTACTGACAATTTTTAATACCAGAATATTATTAAAATGAGTCGAAAGGATTTGAACCAAGAAGTACCCTTCATCATGTGAATGGAAAAGTAAGACATGTTTATAACACATAAGACTAAATCAAAACTGTTAGAAGCATAAAATTTACCTGTGACTCACATGCCTGACCTATTGTTGCATCCATGACAAATATCACATTGTCTGGATTCTGAAAGATAGTGAAACAAAATGAACAAGCTGTTGTGGCTACATACAATTGATGTGAAGTTAAACTCAAGACAGTTGTAGGTTAGCAGTTACTGCCTGCATAGAGGTGTAGGGTGCCTCAATTGCAAGTAACTGACTATCAGCACTAATCTCGCCCATCACAAATCATCCCAGACCTCCCATAAAGGCAAGGGATTTTTTCTGGGAAGCATGTCTATCTCTGTCAATGTAACATGTGCCTAGGTGGTGGACTACCACAGGGTAGCCATGGAAACATTCAATGATGCTTGTTTGACAACTCAACCCTCCCTACAACACCCCCCTCCATCTCAAGCTCATGCTTTATTGATGAGTTTATTACATGACAAAAAGTCGTAAGAATGTCCAAAGTTTCCCTGTTAAGACTCCCAGCTGACAAATGTTGGGCAAGTCAATACTGATTTTGTACTTACAACTGCATTAGAGACTTGAAGCATTTCTTCAAAAAGTGACTCTTCTTGCTTATGTCGTCCACTGTGAACAGTTACATGTTTTATTAGAAGGTAACTAAATTACCTCACTAAAGAATAAACTTGAACAAAAACCTCTCAAATTTCTAACAACTAAAAGCTAATCAAATTATTTGAGAGTTTATAAACTACGAGAAAATAGCAAGGAAGAAGAACACACTACAAACATACCTGGTATCTACAATGATTATCTCAAAGTTTTCTTGTTTAAATTTATCTACACCTTCTTGAGCTATGACAACAGGGTCCATTTCAGTGTAACTGAAAACAATATTGGATTCAAGTTCAGACAAAGTTGTAAAGTACAGTAGTTATATGACTAAATAAAAAATACTATTAATATATTTTCATGGGTGCAGTGACTGAGCAGTTGACAGGTTGGACAAGAAACTTTGCTCCACTTTGTCTCTCTTCATCCAGGGCCGAGTTGTTCAAAGCTTGGTTAAGATAACCCAGGGTTAGTGCGAGATTTGAATTCAAATTTGAAAGCTTAAAAAGCATTTCAGTTTTAATTCCTTTTGTCTACAAGTTGATGATTGGAAGCTCTAAAAATAACAGAGGAAATCATCCGAGAAAATGCTTTTTTTTCCAGCACAAGAAAAAGACACCCGGGTTAACTTTAACCCCAGGTTAAATGCTAATCGGTCTTTGAACAACTGGGCCCAGGAGTATAAATGGGTACTAGTGATATACTAATGGAGGGAACCTTGAAGTGAACTAGCGTCCCATCCAGAGTGTGTAGTAATAATATTATTTTGTGCTTCAATCTTAAGAAACTGGGATGATCAGCTGTTTGAACTTCACTAGCCCACAGTGCGCCTATGCCTTAGTGGATCACCCATAGACTTGCAAGAATAAATAAATAAAAAAAGAAGGAAACATGGTTATGCTGTTACCTTCCATAAAATGGTATTCTAGCTTTAGTGGCATTCTGTTTGAGCTGATCAAATGCACCTGAAAATGAAACAGAATCAAATGTAGTTTGTAGTGTCTGCTTAATACAGATTGCATTGTACATATTATTCCTGAAATCAATATCTCAAACTTCAAAGTGTTTGGGTGTACAGCAAAAGTAAGAAATAGCCTGGTGGACCAGTGTCGTCTTGAAAATGAAATGGTCTTTTCTCAAGAGCTTTTGATAAAATCCTATCACTGTAGTGCATACTATTTAGGAAACTGATCTGGAAGTACAGTACTGATTAATAATGATGAAACTGGACTGATGAGACTGGATGGGTCTGGCACCACAGTTATGAATAATGAAGGATGAGCATCTTAACATGTGTAGTTCTGGGTTTTTACTGACCTGCTCTGAACGTGTCTGCACAAATTAGACAAGTCTTCCAACCTTTCCTCTGATAAAAGTATGCTAACTGCAATAATTACAAACAAATTAATAATGTCATGTTTGCACAAAAATATTGTCAAGCAAAAATTAGTACAAACTATTTTAAAGTGAATGGAATGCAAAAAAAAGTTGAGAAAAAACATAAGTGACTATAAAAGTTACATTTTTCAATAGTACATAAAGATGGCTTACAGCATTTTTCAGTTGGCTGTATTATCTTGAAATGTAACAAAAGAGATACATTCTGTATGTCTTTTAAAGAGGATAAATAAGTCAAATTCAATGGCTATTTTGGCTTCTGGGCCATTCATTGATGTTATCTATTACCAAGGTTTAAGTTATGCAGGGCTTTGATACCTAACTGCTGAAGTGGAAAATTTGAAGGGATGTGATAGCTTTAAAACAAAGCCTCAAGTTATATGAACTGCTTTAGCCTCATTCCAAACTGCCTTCTGCTTTTTTATCGCACAAGATATATGACACTGCCAGTTACTGAAGTCCTTTAATGTTGCTAAATGTCATTTGTCTTCTGGCTGACTCAACAAAGCCATACAGTGTAGTTCATAATATCCTCCCTTCTTGAAAATATACATTTTGTCGGATGTTATAAAGACAAATCAGAAGTTATGACTGTACCTTACTACAAGTTGTTGTCTTTCCACTTCCCTGCAGACCAACAAACATGATAACATTCTGTTTTCCTTTAGTGGGATTCCAAGCTTTCACACCAGGATCAACAAGCTGTGTATATGGAAAAAAATTAATAATGAAGTGCTGTTAAACAAGTTGATATTACAAATAAAAGTGGCTTGCATAAGAAAATGCCACAAGTGTTTTCATGTACATCACTCCAAATTTAAACAAGTCAGGAGAAAAGAGCTTAAATGAGCATGAAAATGGCAAGGAGTTAAGACAGAGAATCACTTGGTAAAAATTTACGACCATTGGTTCATGTTCTCTATAAAACCTTTCACGTAAGAAATTTGAAACTGCTGTCAAAGAATTTACACAGTATGAGAGACACGTTTTGGTTACTGATCAAAAGTCTTGCTTTATACCCTTTCTGATACCAGCCTGCATAGGCAAGCACTGACATATGTTAGCTGTTTTTTCTCTCTGCTAAAAGAAGAGACAGTCAGAATATACACACCAGCATACCAGGCTAGCCGTTCTTATCCCTGTGGCTGTCTAATTCCATTATAAAATGGTGTTTGATAGCTAACCAAGAATCTTCACCACACTGACCTTGCAAAGCTCCTGGAACACAGCATGTTGAATCATTCTTCTCTTGTTTAATCCTGCAGCCATGTCATCAAAATCAATGGCAGATCTGATTTAAACAAAAATACAAAATCCAAAAATTACATTTTGATTTTGTGTACATTTCTTTACAAAGATGACAATTTTGAAGTTCAACACTAACAGACTTTTTTGAATCTCTTTACAAAGAGACTTGCTTGATGTAATCTTTGAAAATAAAATTGAACAGGGTTTGTACCCTTTTTTGAACAAAAAATTCAAGGACTTTTCAAGGACTTTAAGGCACGCATTTCCCATTTTTCAAGGATTCCATTCAGTGCAAAAAAGAGCCCTGAATCTATGTCTTTTCCAGTTCTTCCTCACACGAGCAATTTTATCCTGAAGGTCTTTCCATGTTTACTTCTTTCAGGCACTTGAGAATCTGGGTTGGATAAAGTTATAGCACCAAAATTCAAGGACTTTCCAGCACTGACTTCAATTTTCAAGGACTTTCAAAGCCTTGAATTTTTATTCTAAAATTCGAGGACTGTCCAGGTGCATGCCAACCCTGGTTGAAATACCAAAATCTAGCCAAAAATATAGCTACAATGTGGGTTGCCTATGGAGTTTTTATTTTCTATTTTATTTTTTTACCTGACATTTTCCCTGAGTCTTTTAACAAGCTGCACGTTAACGTCAGCCTCCAGCAATGCAGCACATACTTCCTTAAGCATAGCACCAAGGACCTGTCATTAAAAAATTAATATAACGTTGCCATGACTGCAGGCCTTGGTTTCCAAACAGTACGAGGTTATCCTGTGTTAGCAGTACACAACCAGTACACTGAGTGGCTTTTTTTTATAACAGTACTGTAATTGGCTGTATGAGTACAAGAGGAACTTTAAAACAACTGTCTGATGTACTTGACATCTCGTACTAATATAGGAAGTTTAATGTCTTTAGTCAAGTTCAGATAAACTTCAATTGATGATGTATTTATGTTGTTAAGAAAAAATTGTAGTTGATCACACTTGGGACCTACAAAATTAAAAGGTTTAACAGCCAAGGCAAAGTTGTCGGAAGCCTGGTTAGCTCTAAGGCACTGTTTGTATTGAGAAAAGTTGCCCCGGTAAAGAGGGTCACCCTCTCAGCTGAATCAACCTTTGTGAGTGTTTATATGAGAAAAAAGTGTGATCTTTGCCCGAGCCAAGAGCTTAAAAAAGTGCTTGTGCACACATTGATTGTCTCTCTTTGACTGAGTTGATCCAGCTGGGTGAGCTAAAGAGTTTTTGTCACAAAAAGTGGGTGCGGCTAAGAGGGTGACTCTACAATCAAAAAAGGGAAAACCAGCTAGGTAGGTCACCTGTTCTAGCCTGACCAGATTTTTTGTTTCTAATGTAAAAGGTTCACCAAGTTTTGTAAGGAAATGTAGGGAAAGGCAACTCGTCCAGGGTAGCTCGGGTAGGGGAGTGACCCTTCTACATAGAACAAGTTTTCTCTTTATAAACCAAGTGTAATACTGGATTTACTGCAAATATAACAAATATGTTGTCCTGATAACTAACTCTGGATCTGCACTAGTTATCTTTTCGACAATTTAGTCTTCATTTTTAATTCACCCTGATGTCATCTAGTCCTCTACATAACGAATCCACGAACTTTCTTGAAACTTTCTAATCACTCCTGACTCAACACCTCAAGAGCCTTGAAAGATCAGCACTTTGGACGCGTACAAGTTTTTTTAGAGTTCTTTTCCTGCACAAAACGACAAGGTTTCAACAAAAAGTTTTCAAAAAGGCAAGGATTAAACAAAAAAAATTCAAAACAAAATCACAGATGAGACTAATGTGAGCAAACTTTGACATCCCAAGGGTAATTTCAAAAAGGGAAATCAATATACTTATTTTACTTCACAAACACTGAGTCGACCAACCATTAATCTCTTGGTCATTTACATTCATCTCAATAGTTTTCCCTGAATTTAGCAATGGACCGTGCGAATAAGTTGCAAGTTAATTACATCCGGATTTCAGCAGATAAAATAAGCTGTAAGATAAGTTTAATTGTAGAAAAGCAAAAGGCAATAACTCTCTTCATACCTCTTCATTGATAACAGTAGCATTGCTCAAAGAGCGAAGTGCTGTTGTGATTTTACGTCCTAAGTCCGCGAGAACCATTTTGAAGGAATATCAATGTTACCCTCTTTTCTTTTTCAACAAATAAACGGTCAGAATTAAAATAAAACGATCATAAATCCACAGCTATAATGCCACAACCTTGGTCGCCATTTTCTTTTTTGTTCCTTGTTTATCTTCATGTACAGCGGGTTTACCTTTAAGGCTACGTCATTTGTTCTCATTCTTCCTCTTCCTCACGAGCTGAATATCTGAAAGAGATTGGCACTAGGATGCACGACAATGGCGACGTTGCTGTCTTGTGCGTCTTGCTCCCTGGAAAAAACGAATTTGCTCAAATGCTCAAGATGCAAGTCTGTTTTCTACTGCAGTAAGGAATGCCAAAAGTTACATTGGAAAGCTCACAAACCTATCTGTAAGCCAATCCAGAAGTTACCAACACCAAATTTGAAGTCAAAGTTTCCACAACCACCTAAGAAAGACTCACAAAGCCTAGCAGCATTTGTTTGTAGTTCTTTAAAAGAAGAATATATCAGTGTAATTGATGACCTCTTCGAAGACGAAGAGGCAATAAACATATTGGAAGATGTAAAAAAGCTTCACACCTCAGGAATTTTCCAAGAGGGGCAGCTGAGCGGAGGAAAAACAGCTTCTGATGATGAACAGAAATTCATAGAAAATAGAATACGAGGAGATGAAATAACTTGGCTGGAAGGAAACGAAAAACATGTTCCGAACATTGTGAAGTTGATAGAGTTTGTTGATAGCTTGGTTATGTCTTGTTGCGAGTTGCCCGGTGGACTCAATGGGTATCACATTGAGGGGCGTGCCAAAGCTATGGTAGCTTGTTACCCGGGCAACGGGACAGGTTACACGAGGCATGTGGACAATCCTGATGGAGATGGTCGTTGCCTCACTGTTATATATTATCTTAACCAGGGGTGGGGTGAGGACAAGGGTGGAAAGTTGAGAATTTATCGAGAAAAACATCACATTGATGTTGAACCTGTTCTTAATAGGTTGCTAATGTTTTGGTCTGATGGTCGAAATCCCCATGAGGTTTTACCAGCCCACTGTACCAGGTATGCTATTACTATATGGTATTTTGATGCTGAGCAAAGACGTAAAGCCAAACAGCATCATAGTTTTAATGATATGGGACATCTTGAAGCAGAATTTGCCTTGATGGATGTTGAAGCTAAGAGAAAAGAGAGAGATTTAGCAGAAAAGAAGCTTAGGGAAGAATCTGAGAAATTGGTGAAAAACTTACTCTCTGATGAGGACTTGGATGCTTTGTCTGCTCTGGTTAGACATCATCCTAACCCTAATGAAGTACTCACTAGTCTTGGTATTGATAAGAGTGTACAGGAAGCTTTATTAAAGCTACTAGTTGAAAGATAAATACCCTGGGTACCAGAGGTTTTTTCTCGTGTGTGACGATGAGCTTCGTTTCGTCGGCCGCAGGTCGACACGTGGTCGGCCGAAGGCCGAAGACACGAGCTGCGAAGCTTTTCGCGCCGGTCACTTTTTAAGACTTGAATGAAACCGGAAACCGCGCATGAAAAAGCCTCTGGCACCCAGGGTAAAAGATAAGAGGAGTTGAATCAAATTGTTAGCGAGGCATCTGGATTTGGTACTAAAATACACTGGAGAGATAAGGCCATTTCTGTACCGCAATAAAATACCATTCTGTAAACGAGTGTGTAAGAGTGTGAAACAGGTTCACAGGTCTTACATGAAAACCACTAAGGAGCACTGTAGAGTACCTATTGCTCGTTAAGAAAATATACATTAGTTTTCTTTGGCAAAGGCTGTCTCAAACTTCACGTGAAATTTAATATCTTGTTTCATTGTTTATTATTATTTGTTTGAGGAGGGTTTCAGTAAATATGACTCGGAAGTTAGCTGCTTGGTAACATTCCAAATTCCTGCATCAGGTGTCAAACCGATTATCATCTAAGCTCTAGCTATTTACCAAAGCTAATCATCTCAGTCGCCTCATGTTCAGAGTTAGAATGGCCGTATTTATACTAGGCATTTACAAGGACAAATTTAACGACTTGCTGTTGAGTGCGTCGTCTGGTCTTTACATTCAGACGACTGTCAAGTGTGTTTAACTTAGTCGTCTGACGTTAAAAGGGGTCTGCCTAGCCTGCATGACAGGTGCTTTATGAGCCAAGCGGGGCGAACGCGATATTTCGCTCGCGATATTTCCCTTGTCTCGCGCTTCGCGCTCGGCGCGAAATATCGCGTTCCCCTGCTTGGCTCATAAAGCGCCTGTCATGCAGGCTAGGGTCTGCCTTAAATTATTTCCCGTATTTCCACTAACGAAGTTGTACGCATGAGACGTCTGAGAAGTCTTAGGAGTCCTCTAGAATGAATGAAAACGGCCAATCACTTCGGCCTAGTCAACCAAACTACCAGAATACCCCATTAACAAATACGCAATGTCTCGATTTTCAAAGAAATTACAGTCATAAAGGCACCGACGCGTTTACGAAAACTGTTCCAAATGGTTTTCTTTATATAACCTATACCAAAGTATCCTAGTTATCCAGTTATCTTGCTTTAAAATGGTAACTGACTTAATCCCCTTACCATTTTGGTAATTATGTGTTTTAAACACACAGTGGACTCAATCTTCACAATGTCAATTTTTTTTCAGAAAGATTGAATCAATTAAACAGTATCGTCTGTTGCTATTGAAGGTTTAACCGGTCTTGGCATCCTTTTCATCCTCATCTGACAATTCCAAGTCACAACAGTCGCAAAGGGAAACTTCCATTTCTTGTAGAGAGACCCTTGTTCCAGGAAAAGCCCGACTAGATAGAAATTCCCTACACTTTTTCTCAGCAGATTTTCCGTGGACAGCTTTCAACAAAAAACAAGCTGCTTCTTCCGTAATAGTCCCTTGGTTTTCACGATCCAGCATTTCAAATTCCCACTTTAATTCGTTCATAAGAAAACTGCGGCGATCGACTTCATTTAGAACGTCAATGATCTCTTCTTTTAAGCACAAGTCGCAAAAACAAATCGTTTCTATGGCTGCCGCAACTTGATGCAAGCTTATTGAATTTCCAGGCCTTAGATTATGGTAGATAGACTGAAGTTGCGTAGCTGAAATTCCTACATCGGGTAAACCATTTTTCTGTAAATAGGACGATAAAATACCCTCAACTTCCTCGCTTTGTAAGTTTGAGAAAGCCATATTTTTTACGCATCGACGTCGTTCCGATCGTGGTCAAGCTTCTCATGACAAATCAGTCACCAAAAAACACCTGTATTTATTCTCCAAGCAATCCGGTTAACGTAAGCTTTTAATTGTTTTCATCTATTCCTTTTTATTCTTTAAAAATCTTACCGACTTAAGCAATTTTTATGAAAAGCTGTTAGAGGCCAATATTTCAAGGAACAACGATCGCTCATTTTCAACAGCAGATCGAAATTTTGCCAATATCAAATGATGGAACTCATTACGAATGTATTTTTCGAGTCGAGCTTTAAATATGAAAAAAACATCTGCCATTTTTGTATTGTTTACGAATGAAAAGACAATGCAGTAACCAGTTCTTATTTGCGCATAATAAGTCATATACACATCAGTCGGGGACACTTAAATGCTTTTTATACGCAGTTATAGATACACCCAAAGTAGGATTATGAAAAAAAAAAAAGAAAAAATAGTAGGATTATGCTTAACAAAGTTCTAAATTTCACAACGTTTTTAAGATGGTGCTTGTTCCGATATTAGTTTTACTAGAAGGCGGCGCTCTATGATCAAAGTAAAATTCAGTGGACCAGTGACGTCGAACAATGATAAAGCAATGTTGATTTGGTTTTTAAAAACCTCTGCGGAGGAGCGAGTCCTGGGTACGAGTTTGTGCATATCATTTTCAGGCATTTTGCAACTTTCTCATGATGCCTTGCGAACCCTGATTTCACACTTAGGCGTGGAGACGAGGCAAGAATTTTGGAGAAGTTAAGGCAACAAAATGTCGCAGCGGAGACTTTTTTAATGCTTTAACTTTTAAAGAGTGTTTGTTGTCAAACGAGTTTTCTTTACCATAAATTACGTTACATAACTGCCTTGCGAGCTTGCTAACTGCAAATCAAATATAAATATTCTTTTCGTAAAAAGGACATCGGGTGATTAAAATAGAAAGAACTAGCAGAAGAATATTGACCACTATTAATATTTACAAGAGGAAAATGTGGGTAAATGTAAACTAGACAATTGTCTCAAGTTATTTTCATCCAGTCCTATGAAAACTGGATTCTTGACGCCGGACGAATTTCAAGCGTACCTTTTCCATTAATAAACATAGTTATAGAAGCTTAAACACAACCGACGGTGTTGAATAGATTTGTGACAAATGCGTTGTCCCAGTCGCTTGGAAATATAACTCGACAGTTGCGTTGCGTGGCCAATATACATCCCAAGCGGTCACGAGGAGATTGGAACTGAAATTCAACGGAAGCAAAAATGTCCTTACTTTTTAGAGAACTAGAAAAATAAGTCTCGTATATTCTCCTTTTTGAATTCCGTCTCCGTGGTCAGTTGCATTTTTGTCACTCGTAGGAGCAATGACTAATTCCCTGTTAACTGAAGAACCACCAAAGAACGCGTCATTTATGTCTACACCGACTGTCACATGAAGAAGCTTGTGACCTTTGCAGTTAGAAACCTCCTCGGGAATAATTTCCGGAACTCAATGGAATCGATTTTTTATTCTTTCCAGCTGTTGACTTTTCAGTCCTAAAAAAACGAAAAACAATGATATCAAAGTTTGAGTGTTTCACGGTGTTATAAAAAACTTCTGCTGGTTGGCCAACACAGTCACACCAACCTTAGGACCAACTAACGTTTTCCCTCACAGTGTTTTCTATTACAATGGAAGGCAAGGCCAAGCATGCCTTGATCACGTGCGATTTCCGCTATTAGCATTGGTGAAAGGTACTTGTTCCGAGATCTGATTGGTTAATTTAACAATGTGTGAGGAGTATTGAAACCAGTCATATAACGCTTACGTCTTATCCTTGGTGGTTTTTCCAGTTGTTTTGACAGCAGCGGACGTCACTGAGCTTCGCGCCTGCGTACTAGCATTAGGGGAACCTCTCCACGAACTACCAGATGACGTACTTGGGCTGGGACCAGAAGTCGTAAGGGGGAGGGCTGAGGACAAGCTGGGGAGTCTCTGTAGACTGGATGAGGGTGAACTTTTTGTGCTAGTTCCCAGGCTTCTAGCTGGTGCAGTTTTCTGGGTCGTTTTGCTGGACGCACCTGTACAGCATAAAAATCAGCCAAGTTCAAGAGCAAGAACATTAACAATAATTTTGAAACAATCTTTGTAAAACGTGTCATCATCTAAAGGTGAAAATAGTACACTAATGATCACGGAGTGCATTCAAATATCTAAAACCGTAACGATACGATTACTTAACTCAGATTTGCTAGACAAAGTTGCGGTTTACATTGCGAGCAATCTGTTTTGTTTTCTTTTGATCAGGCTTTGGTTGTTCAAAAGGTGGATAACGCTATCCAATGGATAAATCTCTATCCACTGGACAGTGATTTGTCCGGTGGATAGCACTATCCAACTTTTAACACTTAAGACCGCACTGAAGCACCTAAGGAGATTCAGTAGGCTATTGAAGACCTGTTATTCTTGCCTTGCCATATCAGAGCAACAAGAAGGTAAATAAACATTCTTAAATCAACTTACTAGGACCAGAATTTGAAGGAGTACGCTTGAGAGCTACTAGGCTGTCTCCTTTCGTTCCTTTTCCTTTAGAAGCAACGCCTAAATCCCAAAGACAAGAATAGAGTATGATATAAGTCAAGTAAGAAAAAAAGACTTCACTAAACTAGAATTGTTACCCCACAACTCAACTTCTCCAATTCCGATTAACAACCAAGCGATTTGTAATGGTTAATAACAAGCAGCACTGTGACTTGTTCACGAGAAAGTGTTGCACAAAAGCATTGACGTGATGAACAACTTAAGACACAAAAGGAGGGAACTACTAGCGTTCATCTGCAACGTGCACAGCATAGTAAAAAGGCAACCGAAAAGAAGTAATGTGCCTTCATCCAAATAGTCGCACTTTCAACCTCCATACAGATACAACAGTCAGGATCAGCTAAATCAGTATAATGAACAGCATACCATAGGATCTAACTTGTCGAAATGTCACCTGGAACCAAGGGTGTGAAAAGCAGGCGATGAAATTATGGAGTATTCCTACTTGACTTTTCTATTAAAAACCAAGTGATAAACACAAAGTTTACCTTTTTTAGACTTGTCATCTTTGGACCCCTTTTTTCTCGGATCTGAAATTTTGTTCGCACCAGCCATCTCTTCTTTCTCTTTTTCCTCCTGTAAAACCAAGGAATGAATGTCATCGCTTTCGCTCTTA